AGCCCAATTCATAATTGTTAGGTCATGGAAGAAGCTCAAATGCCCATCGACCCACAAATGGATCAATAAATTATGGTATGTGTACACCATGGAATACTATGCAGACCTAAAGAAAGATGGAGCCTTTACCTCTTTCATGTTTATATGGATGGACTTAGAAAATGTTCTTCTTAGCAAAGTAGCTCAATAATGGAATAAAAAGTATCCAATGTACACAGCCCTACTTTGAAACTAATGCATAGCTTTTATAAGAATGTCATAACCTAATTATAGACTTATATTATGGGAAGGGGGTGGGAGGGGGAGTTGAGGGGGGAAATGAGGGGAGGGAGGGTGATTGGTGGGGTCACCTCTATGGTTTATCTTACAAGGGTACAAATAAATCTTTCTAAAAGCAGAGTATGAACATTTTAACTCAATAACTAAGAAAATGACATGAAGGTTATGTTAACCAGTTTGATGAGAGTATGTCAAAATGTATATGAAAACAGCACAGTGTACCCCATGATTGCATTAATGTACACAGTTATGCTATAAGAAATAAAAAACTAAAAATAAATTTTAAAAAAAAGGATGGCCACTTTATATTTGTTAAGGGTAGTACTCAATATGATGAAATCTCAATTATCAATATTTATGCACCCAACAAGAATGCACCTCAATTTATAACGGACACTCTAACAGGCACGAGAAACTTGATATCCCCCAGCTCCATCATAGTTGGAGATTTTAACACATCTTTTGGCAGTGTTGGATAGATCATCCAATAAGAAGCTTGGCAAATAAATTTTAGATTTAAATTTAACTATTCAACTTTTGGATTTAACAGACATTTACTGAACATTTCAGCCTAACAAAAATGAATACACATTTTTCTCATCAGTCCATAGAACATGTTGGAAAATTGATCATATCTTAGGTCACAAGTCTAATCTCAGCAAATTTAAAAGAACAGAAATTATTCCATGCATCTTCTCAGATCATCATGGAATAAAAGTTGATCTCAGTAACAACAGCAATTTGTAGACTCATACAAAAACATGGAAGCTAAATAACCTTATGCTGAATGATAGATGAGTCAGAGATGAGATCAAGAAGGAAATTACCAATTTTTAGAACAAAATGACAATGAAGACACGAGTTATCAGAACCTCTGGGATACTGCAAAGACAGTCCTAAGAGGGAAATTTATGGCATTGAAAGCCTTCTTTAAGAGAACAGAAAGATGGTTTCACATCAGAATTCTACCAAACCTTTAAAGAGGAACTAGTACCTATATTACTAAACCTTTTTCAAAATATAAAAATAGATGGAATACTACCTAACACATTCTATGAAGCAAACATCACCTTGATACATAAACCAGGAAAAGACCCAACAAGAAAAGAAAATTATAGACCAATATCACTAATGAACATTGATGTGAAAATATTCAACAAGATCCTAACAAACAGAATCCAGCAACACATCAAACAAATTATATACCACGACGAAGAGGGTTTTATCCCAATATCTTAAAGATGGTTCAACATACGTAAATTTATAAATATAATTCATCACATAAACAAATTTAAAAACAAAGATCATATGATTCTCTCAATTGATGCATAAAAAGCTTTTGATAATATCCATCATTCCTTCATGATCAGAACACTTAAGAAAATTGGCATAGAAGGGACATTTCTTAAACTGATAGAGGCCATGTACAGTAAATCCACCACCAATATCGTATTGAATGGAGTTAAATTGAAATCATTTTCACTCAGCTCAGGAAATGGGCAAGGTTGCCCATTCTGTCCACTGCTCTTTAACATTGTCATAAAAGTTTTAGCCATTGCAATTAGGAAGTACAAGGTGATTAAGGGCATCCATATAGGGTCAGAAGGGATTAAACTTTCGCTTTTCACAGATTATATGATTATATCTGGAAAACACCAGGAATTCAACTACAAAACTCCTAGAAATGATCAAGGAATACAGCAGTGTCTCAGGTTACAAAATCAACACTCATAAATTTGTATCCTTTATATATACCAACAGCAGCCAAGCTGAAAAAACAACCAAGGACACTACTCTGTTCACAGTAGTGCCAAATAAGATGAAATATTTGGCAGTCTACTTAACAAAGGATGTGAAAGATAGCTATAAAGAGAACTACGAAGAAATAACTTTTTCTTCGTAGAATGTTAACAAATGGAAAAACATACCATGCTCATGGCTGGGAAGAATCAACATTGTTAAAATGTCAATACTACCCAAAGCAATATATAATTTTAATGCAATCCCCATTAAAGCTCCACTGTCATATTTTCAAGATCTTGAAAAAATAATACTTCATTTTATATGGAATCAGAAAAAACCTCGAATAGCCAAGACATTACTCAGGAATAAAAACAAAGCAGGTGGAATCACACTACCAGACCTCAGATTATACTATAAATCGATAGTGATTATAACAGCATGGTACTGGCACAAAATAGAGAGGTAGATGTATGAAACAGAATAGAGAGCCAAAAGATGAATCCAGTTGCTTACTGTTACCAGATCTTTGACAAGCCAATTAAAAACATTGAGTGGAGAAAAGATGCCCTATTCAACAAATGGTGCTGGGCAAACTAGCTGGCAACCTGTAGAAGACTGAAACTGGAACCACAACTTTCACTATTAACTAAGATAGACTCTCACTGGATTAAAGATTTAAACTTAATACATAAAACTATGAAAATACTAGAAGAAAGTGTAGGGAAAACACTTGAAGAAATTGGCCTGGGCGAAAATTTTATCAGGAAGATCCCCCCAGCAATTGAAGCAACATCAAAAATACACTATTGGGACCTGATCAAACTAAAGAGCTTCTGCACCCAAGAACACAAGAAGTAAAGCAACCAGACAGCCCTCAGAATGGGAGAAGATATTTGCAGGTTATGTCTCCAACAAAGGTTTAATAACCAGAATCCATAGAGAACTCCAAGATATTAGCAAGAAGAGAACAAGTGATCCCATCTCAGGATGGGCAAGGGACTTGAATAGAAATTTCTCTAAAGAAGATAGGCGCATGGCCTACAGATACATGAAAAAATGCTCACTATCCTCAATCATCAGAGAAATGCAAATCAAAACTACTTTGAGGTATCACCTAACTCCAGTAAGATTAGCCCATATCACAAAATCCCAAAACCAGAGATGTTGGCGTCGAAGTGGAGAAAAGGGAACACTTCTACACTGCTGGTGGGAATGCAAACTAATAGGTTCCTTCTGGAACGATATCTGGAGAACACTTAGAGAACTAAAAATAGACTTGCCATTTGACCCTATAATTCCTTTATTAGGTATATATCCAGAGGACCAAAAACCACATTACAACAAAGATATTTATATCAGAATGTTTATTACAGTCCAATTCATAATTGCTAGGTCATTGAAGAAGCCCAAGTGCCCATTGACCCATGAATGGATCAATAAACTGTGGAATACGTACACCATGGAATATTATGCAGCCCTAAAGAAAGATGGAGACTTTACCTCCTTCATGTTTACATGGATGGAGATGGAATATGTTCTTCTTAGCAAAGTATCTCAAAAATGGAAGAAAAACTATCCAATGTACACAGCCCTATTTTGAAACTTATTTATAGCTTTCATAGGAATGTTATAACCTAATTATAGCCTTAAAATATGGGGAGGTGTGTGGGGGAGAGGCAGGCAGGAAGGTGGATGGGTGCATGGGTGGAGGGATGGTTTATCTTACAAGGGTAAGTGAATCTCTCTAAAAGCAGAGTATGAATGTCTTAACTCAATAACTAAGAAAATGACATGAAGGCTACGTTAGCCAGTTTGATGAAAGTATTTTAAATTGTATATGAAAACACCACTGTAACACCATTAATGCAATCACTGTACCCCATGACTGCATCAATGTACAAAGCTATGATTTAATAAATAAAAAAAAAAAAACACTTGAAATGGAAAAAAAAAAAAAAAAGAAAAGAAAACCCCCATGTTTGAGTGATCACTTACTTCCATGAAGAAAGAATGAGAAAACTTAAGATGAGGAAAACTCTAAAACATAATTGGCATGTAAAAAATTTTCAGCTAATGCACTACCAACATTAATTCAATTATCTTATGACATGATTTACACATATACTAAATCAAGGAAATATATGGCACTATATTAGAATAAAAAAGAGAAACATTGACTGTTTCCTAGCTTGCGTTAATTAAAATAAATATTTTTATTAAGGGTGGAAGGACATTTATTATTCTACATTTTTTCTTAAAATGTAGGCTGTGTTTTACAGTAATCATAGATTTGTTATCACTAGTGATCTTGCTCTTCTCACGTTATTAAGTAGAGTGCCTGAAGGTAGGTGTGTGCAGGAAGTGGTGACTAACACAAAATGAATTATGAAGAATTCTAAAATGATTGAGTTGGTCACATTGAGAACTATTGCTGAGACTGTATGATCCTCAAATATGGAAATTTTCCTTGTGAATTGCTTGTATTGAAAATACAGTTACATTCTTGCAGTAAGGAGAAAAGGGGAAAGAAATAAAAAAACAAAATACAGTTACAGTGCTGGGTGCTGGTTTACATGCTTTTGTTTTTCCAACCCTCTTTTCTTTCCAAAAGATGTCCAAGCTGCAATAAAACACAAAATCTAACAGGAGTCTCATAATTCCTCCTCCAGGGACTTGCTAAGGATCCAGAGCTTCAGCCCATCCTTCTTGGGCTATTCCTGTTAAAGTATCTTGCTGCAGTGTTCAGGAACCTGCTCATCCTCCTGGCTGTCTGCTCTGACTCCCACCTACACACCCCCATGTACTTTTTCCTCTCCATCCTGTTCTTGGCCTACACCTGTTTCATTTTATTTTCTTTTTTATTAAGTTAAGTCAAATACACATAGATCGTGAATAAGTTTATGCATATGTGGAATACAATGTGCTGATTTTTTTTATACAATCTGATGTGGTTACATTAAACCAATCAATATAGCTTTCACCTCATATACTTGATTATTTTGCCAAAACATCTATGTTTTACACTTTACAGATATGACTTGTACCCTTGTCATATGCTCCATAGGTGTGGTACAGCTTTTTACCCTCCCCCTGTCAAACCTTCCCTCTCCCCTCTTTTCCCACTCCATTTTTGTCCTTCATCATGGGTTACAGTTGTGTTCTATCTTTCATAGGAAAGTGTGAGTAAATATAAGTAGGTTTCATAGAAGTACGGAGTATGTTGGATATTTTTTCCTCCATTCTTGAGACATTTTACACAGGAGAATGTGTTCCAGATCCCTCCATGTAAACATAAAAGAGGTAAAGGCTTCATCTTTTTTAAGGCTGCATAGTATTCCACGGTACATGTCTACAACAATTTGTTAATCCATTCATGGGTCAATGGGCACTTAGACTTCTTCCATGACTTGGCTATTATGAATTGAGCTACAGTGAATAATCTGGTGCAAATAGATTTTTTGCAAAGTGATTCTTGGTCTTTGGATATACTCCTAGTAGAGGAATTACAGGATCCAACAGAAGGTCAATTTTTAGATCCCTGGGTGTTCTCCAAACTTCTTTCCAAAAGGAATGTACTAGCTTACATTCCCAAAAGCAGTGCAGCAGTGTTCCCTTTTATCCACATCCACACCAACATCGTTTCATCTCCATCACTGTTCCCAAGATGATTCTGGACATCCAAACTCACAGAAGACTCATCTCCTATGGAGGCTGCCTGATGCAGATGTCTCTTTTTGTGCTTTTTGTTTGTATGGATGATAGTCTTCTGACCATGATGACCTATGACCAGCTTGTGGCCATCTGTCACCCCCTGCATTACCAAGTCATCATGAGTCCATGTCTCTATGGCTTCTTCATTTTGGTGTCTTTTCTTCTTAGTGTTCTGGATTCCCACCTGCACAATTTAATTGTCTTACAATTCACCCAATTTAAGGATGTGAAACTTTCTAATTTCTTCTGTGAGCCCTGACAAATCCTTAATCTTGCCTATTCTGATAGTTTCATCAATAACATAATTCTGTATTTCTCTGGTGCCATATTTGGTTTTCTTCCTATCTCAGTTATCCTGTTCTCTTACTATAAAATTGTTTCTTCCTTTTTGAGAATTCCCTCTTCAAATGGGAAGTATAAAGCCTTCTCCACCTGTGGGTCTCACTTGTCAGATTTTTGCTTATTTTATGGAACAGGAATTGGAGTATACCTCAGTTCAGCTGGGTCACCCTCCCCCAGGGAGAGTGCAATAGCATCAGTGATGTACACTGTAGTTATCCCTATGTTAAATCCCTTTATCTACAGCCTGATAAACACACATATTAAAAATGCCTTGTGGAGGCTGCAGAGCAAAATAGTCCAACAGTTCTATCATTTTTGTAGTGTGGAGTGGAAAATGCAGTGAAGTCAGGTATCTAGATCTGTAGATCCTGCCTCTTAGGCTCATTATTTTCTTTGTTTGATGGCTTTCTACTCTCCCCACATTTCATATTGCTTTCTCCATTATGTCATCAATTAGAATGAGTGAATATTCTATCCCTTTTTCATCACAAATATCATGACTGAATACAATATAGCTTTAGTTCTGAGCTATGACCCTGAAATCTAGGTGAAATCACAACTCTCTGTTAAACAGAATCAATCCTCACTTAATGTTGACAGGTTCTTGAAACTGTAACTGAAGGGAAACAACTTAAGATGAGTCCTCAGATAACATTGTTATTCCACTTTATTTAGTTATAATGTTTATGAGGAAAGAAACATTGGGTTCATTATAGTCCATTTTGCTTGAAATCACAGCTTCCAAGAAACTAGGAAGCATGTTAAGTGAAGACTTACTGTAGTTCACAGTTATATCCCTTCTCACAGTTCATGTGTATTTTCTTTACATATTCAATCTATGAAACCTACTTAGGCAGGTTATGTATGAGGATCCACATGACTGGCCCTCAGGTTGGCGTTCATAAAACTCGAGAAAGTCTAAAATGTCAATGATTGTGTCTTACACCAGAGATTTTTTATTTAGTTGAACTTCTTCAGGTATTAGGATTTTTAGCAGCAGCAATGAGTCAGATGATGAAGTCCAAATTATTTAAGGTCAAATAGGTAAGTTAAAAAAGATTATATTTTATCACTAGGCAATGAAGTTTTCTTTTCTTTAACCAATATGATGGAATAATCTTTTTTTACAGAATTTTTTCCTTTTCATTTTTAATTGGTGCATAATAGTTTTACATTTTATTGGATCAATGTAATACATATCACCTTGAACAATTAATCATTTCTTTTAATTATGAACATTCAAAATCCTGTCTTCTAGTTTATTTAAAATATGCACAAAGTCAGGGCACAGTGGTTCATGTCTGTAATCCCAGCACTCTGGGAGACTGAGGCAGGTGGACTGCCTGAGCTCACAAATTCAAGACCAGCCTGATGTAGAGTGAGACCTCATCTCTAAAAATAGCCAGGTGTTGTTGAGGGCACTTTTAGTCCCAGCTACTTGGGAGGCTGAGGGAAGAAGATCACTTTAGCCCAAAAGTTTGAAGTTGATGTGAGCTGAAGATGCCATAGCACTTTACCAAGAGTGACAAAGACTCCAAAAAAAAAGTGCCCTAAATTATTGTTAATACTATTCACTCCACAGTTCTACTGAACACTAGAAATTATTTCTTCCATTGGATGGAGATATATATATCATATATATATATATATATATATAGAGAGAGAGAGAGAGAGAGTACAAGAGGTTTTGTGTAACATGCATGGATTGTATCATGCTGACACCTTGGCTTTTAGGGTAATTGCCACCAAAGTAGTGGACAACACTTTACACAATAGGTAGATTTTCACTATTAGTCTCCCTCCTCCTTCCACCTTCTTAGTTTCCAGTATCCATTCCTCCGCTTTCTGATCATATGTGTCCCTCATTCAGCTCCCACTAATAAGTGAGAACAAGTGATGTCTGTTTTTCCATTCCTGAGGAGATAGTGCACTTAGAATAATGGTCTCTAGCTCCATCCAAGTTGATGCAAAGAACATTATTTCATTCTTTGTTATCACTGTGTAGTACTCCATGTTGTGTGTATGTATATGTATGTGTGTGTATATATCTCACATTTTCATTTTCTCCTTCTCAGTTGATGGGCATATGATTCTTACATCAGATAAAATAGACTTTAAATTAACAATGATGAAAGAGACAAATATGAAAGTGTCTCATGAAACTCCTTGTTCGGAGACGCAGAGGAAAGCACTGCTATACAAAATGATTGGAATGAAAAGGGGGGCTGAGGCTCTATCAGGCACACAGCAAACACCCATGTTTATTGAGCTCCTTATAAACTTGTCTTAGTAAAGGTTAAAAATAGCAAAAAGAAGTGAAACAAGGTAAGATGTTAAAACTGCCATTAAAACTCCAAATCAGCCCAAAACTGCTACTGATCACAAGCACAGTTAAAAAAGGCATTTTTACTTCAGACTTAACTACAAAAGCGCCAGGATGTCTGTTCCTGTTTGCCCACATCCTCTAAGCTAAAACTGACAACTGTTGTGTAAGTAAGGGGGGGAGATACAGGATACAGCAGCCCACTGCCTCAGCAAGTGTTATCTCCAGCTACAACCTGGCGAGACTCACCAGCTATCTTATCTGTAAACATGCTGTCTGCTTTTAGGCAGATCTAAACATATTCTCAGAATAAGAAGCTTAGAGTCACGTTCCTCAGGGAGCCCTTGAGAATAAACTACTATGCTTAGGTATGGGGGGCTGCACTCCAACACAATTATAGTATACTTGTTATATAATTATAAAGGAAGCAATTCAACAAGAAGATATAATGGTCCTAAAGATATATGCATATAACCCAGGAGCCCCCCAGATTAATTTGACAAATATGACTATATTTAAGTGAATAAATAAACAACATCATCGTAATTACCAGGGACTTCAACAATCCACTAACAGAACTGGAGAGATCATGGAAGCAGAAGATCAGCCTAGAAACACTGGACTTAAATGAGACTCCACAACAAATGGATCTAACAGATATTTACAGAACAGTCTACCCCTAATCTGCAGAATATAAATTATTCTCATCAGCACCTGGGATGTTATCCAAGATAGATCATATGTCAGCCCACAAAACAAGTTGTAGAAAAATCAAAATCATATTGTGTATCTTCTCAGATCACAGTGGAATGAAACTAGTATCAATTCCAAGAGTAATCCTTAAACCTAAACACAGTCATGGAAATTAAACAGCCTGCTGCTGAATGATGTTGTGTTGATGAAGAAATTAAGATGGAAATCAAATGCTTTTTTGAATTAAATGATATAGATGATATAAGCTTCCAAAATCTATGAGATAAGCAGAAGTTCTGTTAAGTTCATAGGCTTAAATGCTTATATCAAAAACACAGAAAGATCAGAAATTAATGATGTAATGTTACATATCAAGGAAATAGAAAAAGGGCAAACCAAACCCAAAGCTTGCAGCGGAAAAGAAATAACAAAGCTTAGAGAAAATGGAAATCAAATAACAACAATATAAATAATCAAGGGAACAAGAAGTTGGTTCCTTAAAAAGATAAACAGAATAGACTATTAGCTACATTAATCAGAAAAAAACTGAAATAAGCTCAATCATAAATGATAAAGGAGACATTATAACTGATACCACAGAAATACAAAATATCATCTGTGATTGCAACAAATCCTTACATGCATAAATTAGAAAATCCATATGAAATTGAGAATTTATTTGAAATATCCAACCTTTCAAGCTTGAATCACACACACACATGCACACATCCATATGTGCATGCACACACACACTCACAATAGAAATCTTGACCAGAACAATAATGAATAGTAATATTGAAATAATAGTAACTCTTTCAACAAAAAAAGCACCCAAGACTGGACATCATCACAGCTAGTTCGACCAGACCTACCAGGAATTAGCACCTACTCTATCAAAGCTGTTCCACAAGATCAAGGCAAGAGCCCTTTCTAACTCAATCTATGAGCCAGTGCCTCCCTATTATAGCCAGGAAAGGACAAAACAACAACAATTAAAACTACAAAAACAAAACTATGGACCCATATCCCTCATGAACACAGATACAAAATTCCTCACAAAATGCTAGCAAATTGAATTAAATAGCACATCTCAAAGATAATTCAGCTTTATCAAGTGGGCTTCATCCAAAGAACGCAAGGATGCTTTCATAGATGGAAATCAATAAACGTGATTCACCATCTAATCAGAATTGAAAACAAATACCATGTGATCATCTCAATAGATGTAGAAAAAGCATTTGATAAAATCTAGTACCACTTTATGATTAAAACCCCCCTAAGAAACTAGGCAAAAAAAAATGAACAGCCTTAAAATAATAAAAGCTTTATATGACAAACCCACAGCCAACATCATATTGAATGAGAAAATGTTGAAAACATTCCTCCTAAGAATACAAATAAGACAAGTGCCCATTGACGCCACTTCTATTCTATTTAGTAATGGAAGTCCTAGTCAGAGAAAGCAGGCAACAGAAAGAAATAAAGATCATCCAAATCAGAAAGGAGGAGGTGCTGTTGATTGAGATCACCCAGGTCACAGCAGTGGTGCATGGTCTACTTCTCAGCCCAGGTCCCCAGATGATGGTAATGGTGGGAGTCCATGTCACCCACCCATGGGGCACACATGAACACCATGACTCCTGTTCCTTCCCCACCCAGCAGGATGAGGGGGAGGTAGTAGTTACAGATCTGACCCTGGTATACAAGTACCATTCTGGGTTTGGGATGTTACAACAGCACTAGCCAGAGTGTCCAGGACTCTCAAACCAGCTATGCCTTCTCTCTGGAGCAACTGCAGTCAGGTTTCTGTACCAGTCCAGAGGCTTGTCCTGGTGTGGGGGCCCTCCTTCTGTTCTGATTGCAATGTCCTGAGGGGAAGCATGGAGCCCTGGGTTCTCTCTGCTGTCCATTCCCCCTATGTGGGTGCCTTCCATGAGTACCTCCAATGTTGCTGAGCAGGTGGTCCCATTTCTTTCCATTTCACTTCACCCTGGGCTTCTATCTGGGGATTTCTGGGGTCTCATTTAGAGGATTGACCCAAATGTGCACACCCAATCATCACTTCCAGAACTCTCTAGGGGAGAGGCATCATGCAGGCATCTTCTCATCCACCCAAATCATTCACAGTGTCTTCTTTCTAGATTGTGTGTGTTATCTCATACTGAGGTCATGGATGACATGTACTTTTTCTTGCCTTTATTAAAGTTGATAAAATAGATTGAATGGGAAATATGATTCTTTATAGCCTGCAGTATCCACCCATGAGATCCTCATGGCTCAGAGCTATCTGGATGAAAAAATCAAGAATATTTTTTACTGACTGATAT